AGTTATATCAAAACTGCTCTTTCAATATCATGCCAAATAATTGTTCTTCAATTTCCCTGAGGGTATATATTTTCAGAGGTGGTAAAGACAATGGACATGGTACTCCATGGAAATTGATGGGAATTAGAAATAATGGGGCTTTATAGATCTAGTTTTCTATGTTACGATTCTTAACTTACAAACTTAAGTTTGCATTCTCAGAGACTCTTGGTTGTTGTGATATGTTTCACTAACTAATTTAAAAAGTTGCTAAGTCTATGCTTGCATCCTTTTTTAAAAAAATCTTACTTCCCCATTATGATATACTATAGTTTTTTCAATACTTAGTTTCACAGAAGTAAAATAAACCGGTCATTTTAAATTATCTCAAAATCATTAACAGATTTTGTTTTTGCTTTTCAAACATATACTAAGTTTTCCTAAGTATTCTACCAATATTCGTGAGTGTTGTAACATACCATAGTAATATGTTAAAGCTTCTATAATAATCAATTATAAAATTACATAAAGAAAAAGCAATGCTTTGCTACCAGATACAATACATTTTAGAATCTACACTAGCATTTGCCTATTTTCTAATGTAGAGGTTCTCAAATTTAAATAGACAGCAGAACCAGCTAGAGGGCTTGTTAAAACATAAATTGCTGAGTTCTGACAGAGTTTCTGACAGTAAATTTTGGGTAGGGCTTAGAATCAGCATTTCTAACAAGTTCTCAAATGATACTCATGCTGGTGGTTTGGGGACCACAGTTTGAGAACCACTGATTTAGTCAGTGTGTTGTAGAAGCTAAGAATTTGGCCTCTGAGGCCAAATTGGATGGGTTTTCACCCTGGCCCAGATGCTTACTAGCTGTATAACCTTGGGCAAATCATTTGACTCTGTCAGCTTCCTTACCTGTCAAGTGAGATAATATAAGCACTTGGTCCCAAAGGTTGTTGTGAGACTGAGGATACTAACAAGTGTAAAGCACCTAGAACAGTGGCTAGCATATGGCAAAGATCAGTTAGGTCCAAACATTTTATTAAGACAAGAAAAAATTTCGATTGTCACTATGTGGAAGGCATGCAGATTATTTTTTTTATAAATTGAAATATAGTTGATATACAATCTTATACTGGTTTCATGTATACAACCCAGTGTTTCAACAGTTACCCATATTATTAAAGCCTGATCCCCACTAGTGCAGTTACTATCTGTCAGCATAGGAAGATGTTACAGAGTCACTGGTTGTATTCTCCATGCTGTACTACCATCCCTGTGACCAACTTATATTATGATTGAGAATTTTGTGCCTCTTTATCCCCCTCAGCCTCCCCACTCACCCACCTAAAACCCTCCCCCATGGTAACCACCAGTCACTTCCCAGTGTCTATGAGTCTACTGCTGTTTTGTTTATTTTGTTTTGCTTTGTTCTTATATTCCACTAATGAGTGAAATCATACAGTATTTGTCTTTCTCCACTCAGCTTATTTCACTTAGCATAATACATTCTAGGTCAATCCATGGTGTTGCAAATGGCAGGATTTCTTTTTTAGCATATTATTTCTGAAATAAATTTTTCTAACTCTTCTGAAACTGGACAAATAGAACTAAAAGTCTATATTGGTCATTTGAGAAAAGAGCAACAGTTTACTTCAGTTTACAATGAGCAGAAGGGTTGGCATTTTGATTCAGCATGAAAGTGAGTAGACAAGTATTTTTGAATACTATAAAAGGCAAGACACAGAATGAGGTGGTAAAACAAGGGAATGACAAGACAATAGCACCCGTGCATGGGAGTGAAGTAAGGCACCAAACGGCTGAATGTTGTGGTAGAAAGACAGAGCTGAGTAGGCAGTGCTGGCCATCTTGCCTAGGTCCTTTGAAAAAAACCACTGATACCCTGATTTTAGTTGTGTGACACTGTGTGCCTTGTAGATGCTTGACTTTGCGAGTAAATATGGAATAAGATAAGCCCTTCTTTGAGACATCACACTCCATCCAGAGAGCATGTTTTCACTAGTACACAAGTCCCCAAGGTCCCCAGATGCTGAATAGCTGGCTTTCCCAGACATTCCTATGAGGAGCCGGCATCCAAATACAGTAAGGCTGGTGGTGCCTCGATAACTTGTTAGTCATTTTGTTCTGTGACCTAATCTGCACTGATAAAGTTGCTCAGATTTGCTCTGTTATAAAGGATAGAAACAAAAGGAAGAATTCTTCTCAACAAAAATGCTTACTCACTGTGTGTCCAACAGTGTGCCCAGGCCCTTGTCACCAACCTAGAGGATACGAGGGGGATCAGAAAATTCAAGTCCTCTTTTTCCCTGATGTTCATTGTACATTTGTTGCTCCAATAAAATCCATTTCCTAACCCACACTGCATGATGTGTCAGGGGGTAACTACAAAGAGGTCCATCTTGTACAATTGTGTCAAAGGTAACTTCAGTCATGTTTAATCTTCAGTATCCACCCTTCTACAACCTTATCCTCTCAACAAATTTTCAAAAGGTACCACTTCAATTCTGTTGGTTCTCTCACTGTTCTGACATGTAACTCAGGGTTTTGTGGACCTGCATTCATATAAATCACTATGTTATTTTATTATCTCTTCATCTCTCTCAAGCTTCAATTCTTTCCTTTTCATGTTTCTCATTTTTAGTATGGCAACTGTTCTCTTTGGTAAAGAAGGAGATAAAATAGAAGCTGAACTGTTTAGTTACATTATGTTATCAGTTAATATTATTCCTCTGCCCAAGTAAAGAAACACCTTCAATCTAGTATCTTATTTTGAGCATAATTTAAAACCTACTTTACTTTCTTATTAATTTAGGGAGTATTTCAAGGTGAAGTTACTGCTTATATGACAAGATTATCATTACAATGAATTTTAAGTTAATTCATTTTTATAAACATATGTCATTCAAGTAACTTTTTCAGAAGTGTATGTATTTCTTTGTACCTGGAAACATAAATATCAAGAGTGTTGAGGGTTTTATTGCCACAACATGTTATTTTCCCAAAATGTGGGAGCTAAGCAACAGATTCTTGCACATCCCACAGATATTCATATGGAGTAAAAACTTATTATACATGCAAAATTACCTACCAAAGAGCAGGTTTTTGTATGGTCCTACATATAACTTTAGTCACTTAACTATAAAATAATATAACTTTAGTCACTTAACTATAAAATAATATTTCCTTCTCATCCTGCAAAGGCACTCATGAAAGCATTAAAGATAATTCCAGTAGTTTTTATGATCTTCGCTCATCCAAATCACCTTCCCTTCCTCTCCTTTTAATTAAGAACTCTGCTGTTGTCAAGGATCAGAATTAATTTGAGTTGTTCTAAGAAATCTTCATTGATGTTTTCAAACTTCAAGATCTACCCTTCATTAATTCCTACAAGAGAAATTGTTAGGACTGACTGCTTGGCATTTAGTACCTTATTTTGTGATGTATTCTTATAGGTTTGTATCTTTTCTAGTCCATTATTTATTATTTTTTTAAATCTGGAGCCACATTATATGTATTTTGACATCCCAAACAACAAATATTAGTTAACTAAACATAGTGAACTAAATAGGCACTTGAACATATGCTTTTGATAAAGAATCATATGCATCTTTATGAAAAACAAGAGAGAAAACTAAAATCATATAGCGTAGAGATAGGTTAATTTTATTTCCCAAGCTCTAAGAAATTGAGTAAGCTCAGCTTTACTGTTACTTCCATGAGGAAAAAAACAAAATACAATTGAACACTGGGGCAAACAGCACAGGCAAATTTATCTTTTCATCTCAGTTTATAAACTGGGATAAATTATAAATAATGCACTGCCACCCAGTGGCAAACTTTCACTTTAAATGTAATATTCTGAAGATTTAAGATAGTCAAGACACCAACCATTAGGGATCCTTGCTCAGGAAATTTTATATGCCAATAGAAAAATTGATGAAAGAGAAATTTACACTCAGTTCAGGAAATTTTGGGCCAAATGAGAATAAATAACTAGCCCAAATTAAACAAACTTTAAAGAAGAAAGCAAAAACAAAACTATTCTGATACTTGTAAGGTAAGTGGAAACTTGAATTTTGCTGAATATTCAGTATCAATGAACCGATGTTCATATATCTAGATGTTATAGTGGTACTGTACTTCTGCTTTAAAAATAAAAGCATGTTTATTTTTTAGGGGAAACATTCCAAAGTGATTACTGATAAAATGATGTGATGCATCAAAATAATATGAGGAATACAGGGAGATAAGTTGGAGATTAATTCAAAGCAATTTGGTCTGTAAATTGATAGTTAAGCTGGATGATGGTTACATGAGATTCATTGTACAATTTTGTCTACTTTTGTATGTTTGAAATTTTCTGTTACCAGCAACTTAAAAAAATCTCATCAAATGATTTATTACCAGTGAGTGTACAATTTCATTAGTGAAAACAGAGTGCTTTCTCCATACATTACATGGCAGATAGGAGTAGGTTACACCATAGGCTAGGAAGAACTTGTAATCTTCATTTGCCTTATAACATGAACATGGAGGAAATTAACCTCAAACCTTCTGAAGCCCGAGGCAATAAAAGAATTGAAACTGCTTCTTAAATCAAGTTTATACCCAATATCAAACTCACATTGACTTATAAAAGGGATTACTAAACAAACACCTAAGGAGAATTGTTGAGACTTATTATTTAGTAAAACTGTACTGGACTGCAATTATTCTGTGCTCTCTCTCTCTCTCTCTCTCTCTCTCAATATTTACTACTGAGTAATGAACTTTCTAGTATGCTGCTTTTCTAAGCTTAAAAAAAGAGCACAGGAGTGACTGTTTTGTTGCTAGGTTTTAGGCAACAGTTGGAGGTCCTGCTTTCACTTTTTTTTCTACTATGACTTGAGCCTTTTAGAAAATTAATTCAGTTTCTTAGCAACCTAGATGAGTATAGCTAAAATACACTTTGGGTTCTTTTGTAAAGCAAAGGCTCAATGTTTCCTTTATAAACTGTGTAGTCCCACTTGGCTTTGCAGAAAAGATTTGCTGAGACACACTGCCATAGAAATTTTTATAATAAAGCTCTCTGTTTCAAATGGTGAGTGGTTACCAATTTTCTAAATGAATGTTCCTGCTTTTGTGTTTATTTTGAATTATTCTGGTTTGTCAATTTATCTAGCTCTTTGGAATCTAAACATTTTATAAGTTAAGGTATATGAGATAAATTCATTTATGAGAGAAATAATTGCTTTATATATAATATTGTAAGTGGGAAATGATAAAAAAAAATACATTAACAAGGAGAAAGGCCAGCTGGAAGAAGGTGCTGAATTCTTTATACACTGTAATTGTGCAGGTATTTGTGGCTTAAGGAGTTCACTTAATAGTTCACAGACTATTTTATAATGTTTGTTTCTTATGTTGACAGCACTTAAGTGTCAGGTACTTATTATATCAATCAGTCAGTCAATCTGTTTATATATCTCCTCAATTCTTAATGCTATAAAATTAAATTCGGATATGGAAGCAAAAGCAGCTTCAATTTACATACGTTTGCTAACCAAAGAAATGTATTTATTAGCAGATTATAAAAGCAGATAAAAATATTTTGTGGCTTTCCAGTAGAAAATACTTGACGAAACAAGTTATATGAAAGTTTGTTTTTTATCTTGCCACCATTTTGAAGAGGCTTTTCATTATTTAGAAAAAAAGTATAATTAGATATTTGGGGCTTTAGATACAGCTTTTCAAAAAGGGAATATCTGTATATTTCAGAATTTGGCAAACAGAATTCCTATTATTCCTTTTATTGATAAAGTGTAAAATTTTCATTTTTGTATGGTTGAAAATGGTAGAATATTAGCAATTTCACATAGTTCAACCTAAAACATGCAGAACCCTATGTGGGGTTTTTAAAGATAAAAATATGGTCTCAATAATTTTATAACCTAATTTGGGGGCAGATTTTGTAAATAATTAAGTTTAGTACAAGGTACAAAGCAAAATATAGCTTCAGCTTCCATTGCTCTATTCAGAAAGAAGGATGAATTTTGACAGGGAGATCTGGGAATACTTTTATTTGAGATGGCATTTAAATTGTTTCTTAAGAAATAGGTAAAATTTCATAGATGGGGAATAATTGTGTTTGCTGAATGCAGATTAAGCCATTCTTTTATATATTTTTAAATATAACCATTTGCAATAAGACATTTTGGGCAAAATAAAGCTTCTATAATATCAACATTTACCACTAAATCTTTGACTGAATGAGAATATTGGTAGTTTTTCTTAATTTCTCAACCACACTTCTTGTAACTTTGTATTTTTCTATGCCTTAGTTTTTTCTATGTAAAATAAGGATGGTGATGGGTTATCATCATCACAAGCTTGAGTCATTCCTCTAGATGTCCAGTTGATTTTTTTTCTGATGAGTACCTACGGACTACAATGACACAGGCTAATGTATGATTCATACTCTACAGAATCTGAATTTTACATACACATTATGCAAAAGAATAATATATACACATTACACAAAAGAATAAAAAATACCTTAGTTTTTTCTATGTAAAATAAGGATGGTGATGGGTTATCATCATCACAAGCTTGAGTCATTCCTCTAGATGTCCAGTTGATTTTTTTCTGATGAGTACCTACGGACTACAATGACACAGGCTAATGTATGATTCATACTCTACAGAATCTGAATTTTACATACACATTATGCAAAAGAATAATATATACACATTACACAAAAGAATAAAAAATTTATAACTGAATGACAAAATAAAGCATCATACAAAATTGAAAAGAATTTATTACCATTTTAAATGTGACACAGTAAAACTTTTTGGCAGCCAGGAAGTGTTGAGACATATAGACACAAACAGTGCCTCAGTGGCAACCAGGTGACTGATAAGCGTGTGTCTACTCCCAGCTACTTAGTCAAAAAGAGGTCTGGATCAGCACTACAGTCTCCAACCACAGCCTTTTAGTTTGCCAGCTGTCTATTCTCTTACTGCCGTAATACTTGTTTTGTATATCAGTTACACTTCTGTGGTCTTGACCTATTCTTATTCTTCTAGTTTATCATCCTTTAGGCATCAATTTCTTTCCAGCTGTATGTCCTGGTTAAACACATCACTGTCTCACTCACTGACATCCTCAACCTCGATGTCTTTTCATTGCAACAGGTTACAAACCTCTGACCATGAATCAGTCCACTTAAATGCTTTCTCTACTCATGTAACCAGATTTCTGAGCCCCATAGGCGATAGGTATATCCACAATTTTGGTCAAGGATGAGACTTTAGTGTTCCTCAGAAGTTTACAGATATGTTTCTACAGAAATGTGTAGGGTCTTGGGTGAGGCAAGAGTGTTATAAAAGAAGACAGAGTACCTGGCACAAATTAACTGACAGTCAAGGACTTGATTTTCATCAACTCCTAGTGAGTTGGGTGGGTCAGGGTGGAAGTTACATTAACCAGGTTCAGAAGAGTCCAGCAGGAAAACCAAACATGCAAATTTTTTCACTTACATGCAAAAGAAACCATACTAACTCATATTTTCTTTCTCACTCATTATCTTCCAGTAGATTACTGTACATGTGAAGCCAAATTATCATCTGAGGGTGATTTGGTGAAAATAAAATCAGAATAAGGAGAATTAATTATGTATTTTATACGCTATATGGCCTCAGCTTATGAGAAGTCATGTATCAATCCCCTGAGTATAGGCTGATATGATAAGGGAAATAAAAATCTCAAATATGTGTCAAGGTACTCTTCCCTCTCAAAGAACCTTTGAAGGGTGCTGCCAACCTTCAAACTTCCAGCCCACCATCCCTTCTTAAAAATATCTTTTACTTATAAACCCTTTTAAATTCTATGAAGACATTCCTACTGTTCACTGTATAACACAGAAACATTAAATTAAGATATTTTGTTATTTAAATTATTTCCCTTTATATTTTTAGCATTGCTTAGAGAATAGTAAACCTACATCCTTATTTCCACATTCTTTGTTAATTACTGTGGTATGTTAATGATTAAATTTAACTTATTTTATAGCAACTTTAAAGAGATTGTAAGTGGCTCCTTATTCATGAAATCTGTTTCATTTTTCAATCCATTATTTGGCAATAGAGGATAACATATTTTGAACACTTGGGGGCGTTTCTAAATTCCCCAATCAGAGATTAAGCATCACTCATTGTTTTGGTTTCTATGTAGTGATTTTTTGTTATACTGTAGCATGAATACTTAACATGAGATCTACCATATTAACACATTTTTAAGTTCACAATACAGTATTATTAGTACAAGCACAATGTTGCTTAGAGATCCATACAGATTATTCATCTGTGTAACTGAAACTTTATTCCCATTGAACAGCAACTTCCCTTTTCCCCCTTCCCCAGATCCTGACAACCATCATTCTGCTCTCTGATTCCTGGAGTTTTACTATTTTAGATCCCTCAAATAAATGGGATCATGCAGCATTTGTCTCTCTGTGACTGGCTTCTTTCACTCAGCATAATGTTCTCCAAGGTCATCTATGTTGTTGCATATGGCAGAATTTCCTTCTTTTTTTAAAGCTAATTAATATTCCGCTTTGTGAATATAACACATTTTTTTAAATCCATTCATCTATCAATGGACATTTAGGTTGTTTCCATATTTTAACTACTGCGAATAATGCTGCAATGAACATGAGAGCACAGGTATTTCTTTGAGATCCTGATTTCAATTATTTTGGATAATATCCAAAAGTGTGATTACCAGATCATATGGCAGTTCCATTTTGAATTTTTTGAGGAAACTCCATACTGTTTTCCACAGTGGTTACACCAATTTATATTTCACTAATAGTGTACAAGTATTACAACGTGTATGAGATAACATTCACATAATTTCACTATTTACTCTTTTAAAGAGTAACGTTTAAATAAAATAAAGTCTACATTTAGTGGTTTTTATCATACTCACAGTCTTGTGCAACTATCACCACTATCTAATTCCAGAACACGGCCACCACCCCAAAAGGAAATCTTGTACCTCTTAGCAGTCAAGCCCAATTCTTTCTTAACCATATCCTTTGACAAAAATAAAGTAGTTTTTATTTTAAGCCACTGGGTATGTGAATAGTTTGTTATATAGCATTATTGCAGCAAAAGCTGACTTGGCCACAGGTCTATACTTCCAGTTATTTAATGCATGTATATTTTGTTTAAAACTATTCATTATGATGATCTTTTCCAATAAACTGTTCTTCTTGTATTTCTTATGCTGGTTAAGAAATTTTGCATCGTCTTTTTGATTCATTAAAACTCCTTGGTATGACATAAAAGACCTTTGCTAATATAACCCCAACCGATTTTCTAGCTTTTATAGCATACCATTTCCACTGCTTCCTTACATACTAGGCTATGCTCCTGCCACACTGAGCTTCTTGCTTTTCTTTCATTTTTGAGCTTTTTTTTCTCCTTTATAAATCTTTCAAACATTACCTTGGCCTGGAGAGAAAATGTTCAGTACACCATTGCTATAGTGCCATAGTCATTAAAAATGCATATTGTTATTAGAATTTGAAAAACAGTTCATCAGTTTACTTTACAAAATATGTATTATTAATTTTTCATGGTTGACATTTTCAGTGTATTTCCAAAGTAGTTTCTCTTCATTTACTACTGTAGCTTACTGCATTTAAAATTTAGAATTTTAAAGATCCTCTATTTGATGTTTTTATCAAACAACACAACATTCTAGCACAGGTCATGGATATTCATCTTACTTCAGGTCTTTATTTCCCAGGAACCAGAACTATTATATTATTTCCACTTAGCCAAATATATTTTAGTTGGTAATAGCCCTCTTTCAAGGAGATTTCAAATTCATTGGCACCATCCAGTAACATACTGAAAAAGTCATTCAGTCTTAGAAACGTGCCAACAATTTTCTTGAGAATGACCAGGCAAAAAGCAAATCCATGATTCTTATCCACAGATCCCAGTAGCAGTCACTACAATGCACTTATCATGGTTTAGGTGGCCATAGCTATCCCAGAAACTGCTTACGGCAAATTTTACATACTTTCTCTGTCTTGGTACAATGTTTCCTTGCTTTATGACGTGGAATAATTCCATTTATACCTAAAGATCAGTCCAATTGACAACTTTCGCTTTAAGGTCACTTGTATTTCCACGTAGAGTTAGCTGACCACTCTCCTTGCTCCTCATAACACTACTGTGATATCCGTCACATTACAAAGGTTTTATTTGTTGTCTCCATGTTTTTCTCCCAAGTAACCCCTCATCTATGTAACGACATGGATTTTAAGCTAATCATTTTGAATTCTTAGCCCCCAGCACAGCTTCTGCTGTGACACTGGTGCTCCCGAAATACTTGGAACACCCGAGATACCCTCCTTCTCCTCCACACACACTGCCTGTCATTTCTGAGGGTTTTTTTCCTGCTTCATAAAATTTTCAATAATTACCCTGGCCTGGAGAGAAAATATTCAATACACCATTGCTATAGTGGCAAACCTCACCAATTTCAACATCTGTTGCAGGTTCCTACATGCGCAAACACCCTCCACCTAAGGTACCTTGAGTCCCAGAAAGGCCGAAGCAGGGACACTGCAAAAAGGTGGCAGTATCCCACCCAGGATTTCAGCTCCAAATGGGAAAAAAGTGTCCTGCAGCCTCCCCAACCTGAAATGAAAGTTGACACGTGGGCAATAAAGCCTCCTGATTTCAGTTATAAACTGTATACATCTTTGAGCTTTCCAGAAAAACCATCAAGGACTGTGAAGGAAGAACAAAGGAGGAAAAAAAAAAGCAATTTTCCAGAAACAATGTTTCACTTGCCTAGCATGAGCAATCACCCCAAGCAGGCCAGATCTCCTAAATTTATAACTACATTCCCACATCTGGATTCATATAAAGCAAAGCTATTGTATGTGGAGAGTGGAAAATATCCGAATGGCATATACCTCAATCCGAAACCACATGACTTTCGACAGGTACAGAAAGCATTTGATTCTAAATAACTTGAAGTAGATAAGGGGAAATATGTATTATTCTTATTCATTTATTTATTCTGGAAACTGTTACATGAGCAAAAGGTATGTAAATATAATATATATAAAGCTGCATCTTTGTTTCTCAATTCAGATCAGCAATAAATGACAGAGGAGAGAGGTAATACCCTGGTTAATGTTTCTTGTGGGGTTTTACCTGCCAGGGGGAATGGCCAACTCTGGGATGGCTTTTCTTAGTTTTGAGATGAGCAGTTGGATTTAGATGGGCTTGGAGAACAGACCAGTTGCCAGGAGTTTATGATCCAGTAGTAATTAAATCAATTCATAGACTGAATGGATGAATGAATGAAAATTGGTAAAGAGAGGTATTATATTACTTTTAATAATCTTTCTAATGGTTAATAATTTATATAATATATGGGAAAGAATTAGATTTATAGGTTAAAATAGTGGTGGGGAATATATATTAAAGGAGATACAAATGAAGTCAAAATATAATTCCTCTAGAGTATGAATATGTCCTATACTTAGGTCTATAATTTAACACAGAAATATGACTCTTGCTAGGCAAACAGAGAGGCACCAGGACTGATAAAACAAAAGCTAGAAAAAATTTATTGCAGTGGAAAATATAGGAAAGCAATTAAGAGCATGGCCTATAGATCAGATTAATCCTCTTCTCTCTTACTCTCTAACAATTTTAGACAAGTTATTAAGCCCCTTTCCTTACGTTTAACACGGGACGACAATACTACCTATTTTATATAGTTATTTTAAGCAACAAAGAAGACAATTATTTACAAAGCACTTAAAACAGGGTCTGGAATATGTTGATATTCAGTGAATGCTACTTCTTAGGAGCTATTAGGATAAAAGTTTGGAAATTAAAGAAGCTTTGATCCATAACCCTCTTTACTTGTTCAAGGCATCTCAACACCTCTATTTGTAGTAAATGAAATATATTACCTTTTGGAGAGGAAGAGAGGTCAATTAAATAGCAGGTGTCATTGGTTTATTTAAATAATCACTAGTTATACTTAGAATTATGAGACTTAGGTAAGTAAAGTTCAAGGAATGGGAGACATTTTTATTTTAGTTGAATTAATTTGTTTTTATAAACAAAAGTGAATTGGAGGTAGAGTGATATAAATTATGTGACCACCAGATGTCAGTATTATTACAATTTAAAACTCAATTGACGAAGTACTGAGATTAGCTTGGCCTCGTATTGTATTTATGATTAAAGAGTGAAAAATCTTGTATTTTTCCAGAGTTTCCTTTGGGATTTCTAATATTTTCTTGTTTTCTTGTGGCAGAACTCCTAGAATCACTTCTCTAGAAGTGAACCCTAACTTCTGCTTTATACTCCAAGGTAATTCCTTGGTGCCATATTGATTCAACTTTCAAACAGAGCCATTTGCAATATTTTATTTGATTAGCTTCTGGAAGTGTACAAATTCAACTTCAGTTCATATTTGTTCATTTAAACCATCATAAAAAAACTACCTAATTTTATAGTTTACTAAAAACAATCAACTGTTACTCTATTCCAGTCTTGGCAAATTATTTTAGCTTTGTTCAATATTTTATCTATGTCCTTGAAATAAATTCAGTTCAAGAAATAGAACATGAAACTCCATCTGCATTTAAAATTAAGTTGCCAAATTTTGAATGGATTCTGTTATTTTCATCCTGTTTAAAATATTATTTCTGATTTGTTCACATAAGGATAGTTGAAGTATTCTGACCCACCACACGATGAATTGGTCATATAATACCTTGAATCTTAGATTAGTCTTTAAATTTTTCATATTTAAGTTTTAAAGGCTGTAACAAAATCCCCTAAATTGCACTTCGCCAGTGATATATTTAATATCTGGAAAAATCAAATTCCAAATACAATGTTCGAAATAAAAACAATACTTATTAGTAATAGTACTATATTCTCTTTACATATCCAGTACCAACCTAATTTACCAAACTTTGTGACAACTTGTGAAAGGGACCCTTTTGGATTAAAATTTAAGTCACAACACTTAAGTACAGGTAAGTCTTTATCATAAAGTTATGAATATGGCAAGAAATAATATTTCTGCATTATATCTAAGTATTAATACTTATAAAGACATATAACTAAAATATATTTTTATAACTTAGCATGTTTAATAATATAGTAAGTTTTTAAATGCCATTATTTATTGACAACAGTACATTTACTTTGTTATCCATAACTCTTAATATATTATTGAAGTTTGAATTATTAACTCAATGTGTTCTGTATGGAGAGCCAATAGTTAGTGCATAAGAGAATGGATTCTGGAAGCAAGCTGCATAACCATGAATCTTGGCATCACTGCCCCATATTGCCTAAACTGTCTGTCCCTTGTTTCCCCATCTGTAAATGGGAATGATAATAATTTAATTTATATCATAGAATTATTGTGAGCATTAAATCTGTTATACCATATGTAAATCAGTTAATGTATATGGAGCACATATCCAGCACATGGTAAACATGCAAACACCATTATTATTATCATTTATCATTATTATTATTATGGTGTCATTTGAATAGTGTTTGCCTAGAGTTAATCTGTATTATCCAGCATTCCTCCTTCTTTGGAAAAGAGTAACACATGCATGCTATATTTGCATATTATAATTAGATATAAATTATAAACAAAATAAAAAGATGTTAACACTGGTTGTCTCTGGGTAGTGGGAAAAGGGTTGAATTCTATTTTCTTCTAAAAATGAGGAGTGGTTTTGTAATTGTAAAATTAAGATAATTTATCTGCAGATATGTTCACATGCTAACTTTCCTTACATGCACTATGGGTAAATCACTATGGAAGAAAATGCCAAGGATACTGTATAAGACCCAGCCTCTAATTTGAAGAAATGTTTAAGTAAAATATGAAGCAGAATGCAAACTATGTCATTCAAGTCACAGAGCACTATTGAGAAGTTTTAAAAACAGTTTCCAGGGAAATAAATAAAGATGGGATTTGAACTGGAGTTTGAAGGACATGAATTTCAGCAAAATTGCCAGACAGGATAAACAAAATTGCATTTTAGATTTACATTTATAAATTTTTTACTCCTGGGTCTTGATCTCCAAAAAACAATAACCATATTCTGACAGGCATCATGAACAAAGAGCCCCATGTAGCTGCTAAGCTTCTCATTTGTCTTCTTATCTCTAGTACATAAGGACCAGTGGCTGAAGGATGATAAACAAAAGAACAATACAGAAAGAGTCATCACCTACAAGCTTCGTGAATGCAAATGGGATTCAAAGCTAATTTTACCAAAAGCACCATGGCCCATTAAATCTGCTTCCTATACGGTAAACTCGACTATACAGCTGTTGGGAAATGTTTCCAGCACTGTTGTTAACTATTGTTTTAAGGTGGGAGTTTTTCATTTGTTAATATATATAGTGAAAGACATTCCCATCTTTAAAGCATACATATCTCTGCTTTTTTTAAAAATGCAAATAGTGGATTATCTAGAATTTTGGATTTTCTTATTACAAAGATAATTGATATGGTGGACTAAGGCCTGAATACTGTGAGGGATTTTCCTCAAATTTGCTCCCACCTATCTGGAGTAGCCCATTTTGAATGAATTGCATTCTGGTAAGACCTTGTTATACTCTTATAAAAAGATACTGAGAAAATACACTTTTACCATCACTCTGTAGGGGTCAAGGAAGGCAGCTCCAAGTTGTGACATTTTGCTATGTAGATTATGTTGAGTTGAAAACAATCCAGGCCCAAAAGATTCATAAAGAAACATTGACCGTCCCCCACCAACAGTGTAAAAAGAGTTTAGATGGAGGGGCTGCTCTGGAAAGAGAGTTAGGGCTGTTGGTAACTACATTATAATACGAACTAGATGTTGTAGATGGGGAGGAATGTGGCAAAGTCTGTTGGTTAAAATTCTCTCTGTCCTATTGTTTGTGTGGCCCAGTAAACATTCATCTACCAAGCATGTACTCTTTCACATTGCTGTGAACTACCTGCCTTCCTTTGAAATCCCAGGCCACTACCCACCTCTCCTTAATTCAGAATGGCATGGGAACCTCATGGGCCCTGATTGTCTTTGGAATCTCATGTCTGTGGATTCCCCATACATACATAATTAAATTTTAGTTGTTTTTTTTTTTTTCTTCCTGTTAAGCTGTCTCATGTTTGATTCTTAGACCAACTAGAAGAGCCTTGAAGAATAGACGAAAATTCTCCCCAACAGCTCAAATTCTACCCTGGGCTGCTAGTAGGCCTGAATGTCCAACCAGAACAAGATGTGCATTTGACATATTTTTAAAGCAAAGCTTTTAAAGGGCAAGCTTTTAAAGCAAAGATGATTAAAGAGCAAGTAAAAAATGATAAACAATTAAAATCAATACGTTTGCTTTCACTAACACCCTTCGTATCATCTTCCTTAAGAGACATAGAAGGCAGCGAGATGTGTACAGTGCATTTATGGATCGTGTGGAAGAAAAGTTTACTAAGACATGTAAGAACAGGTGGGCAAACATTTTAAAGTCTGTTGTTGAACACTTCCATTAACTCTTTAAAATTATTACTCAAATGACTGTTTTCAATAATATGTACTTTATCCTATAGATGCTCTACTATCATAGGAAATAAAATGAAGTATTTGCATGGTATTTAAACCATTTGAACTGGAGTCTGAATGTACCCAGTCCCTTAATCAGATATTTATTCTTCTTCTTAGGTCTCAGGGAAATTGTGGAAAACTTCCTGTGGTGATGTCACAGTTCCAGGTTTCACACACTATCGTTGCCCCCTATATCTCTTCAGTCTTTCTCATTCCAGAATATTCCTGCCTAACTTCGTCCAGCCGGCAGCTGCATCTCTTTGCCTGAGGGCTCTCTCTGGCTGTTAAAGCTGCACACAGCAGGACACAAGGGCTGGGGTTTTAATGTCTCCCAGCAGCTGCTTTCAAGCAGTTACTAAGGAGATTGTTTCCCAACCTTCCCCAAGGGGGTTTGACTCCAGGTGCCCCAGTAGTTAACTTGCACTTTGTTGGTTTCTTTTTCCTCTCTCACTTGTCTGTATTCTTACATTTGGGGGTTTTGCTGTGGTTTCCCTAGAATCCTTGTTAAGTGCTTCTGGGGAAACATAAATCAAGACACCAGAAGGCAGTATCATGATCTCAGAAGACAGAAAGCCTGGCTTCAAATCCCAGCCTTGCCACGTACTAATGGGCAAATTACTAAACTATATTCTTTCTCATTCTTCACCTGTAAAATGAGAATAAGGTGTTCTATCCTTAGACAGACAAGGGGGTTCTGAATTACATTATGTCTTATAGCTTCTCTTACCATTTTTGATTCACTTGTCAATGTCATTACAAGAAGTGGGTGAAAGGGCAGATTAATATTGTGGGCAAAGTTTGGGCTTCAGGTTTGTGAAAAAGTACTCCAGTTCTAACCAAACCACCTATTAATTGTGTAATCTTGGATGATTTGCTTAAGTTTTCTGAACAAATCTTTCTCAGGTTTTAGAAGAATGAAATGAAATGGCATATATAAACCACTGTCATAATCCCTCACATCTTCTGAATTCAGTTATTATTGATTATCATTGTTAATAATAATATAGAGATACTGCTTTGCATCTAAGTTACTTAACTGTCTGTGGCTCAGTTTCCTTTTCTGTGTAATGACAACAATAATAGTACCAACTTCACAGAGTTTGTTATGAAAAGTCAAAAATTTGTATTTGTAAAACACTGAGGACATAGCATGTGACAGTAATTGCAATATAAGTATTTTATGAATAAAAATACAAAAACTATGCATTTTGTGTGTACAAAGTAAAATATATACAATGTCCAGGGATTAGCCAAGTCAAGAGTTGACTAAAAGATGAGAGAAAGAAAGGGAGGCAGTTCAAAAACTCAGAGTCCTACTAGACTCTCTAGGAAGATTAATCTATGGACTTGCATAAATGGGAGAAATCCAGAGAAAGAACAGTCAGCAAACAGTTATCTCTAAGAGAACCAGATCACAGATGAATATATAAAAAGGAGATAGGTGAAAACTGTATTCAAATGGACAGAGTTCATTTTATATTTACAAGTAGGTATGAAGTCACCCTGAGGTAGTGTAGGGACATGGATAAGCATCATGATTAAATTTTCCTGCCTATGATGAAAAATGCCAAGATATAAATAGAATAGGAGGGACTCCACCTTAAGGCTAAGATTTCATTTTAAAAACCAGGGAGTTAGGAGATAAGATTCCTAACATATTTTATGGTAATTAGCCACCAACTGAACCTATCTCAAGGTAGGGCAAACAGTCATAAGTGATATGTCCCCACCCTTTCAGGGTAACCATTACACTGGAAAAGAATAGGATTAATATATTCCTTGTTGTAAATTTATCTTAAAATATATCTACAAGATTGACTATGGATGGTGACATAATGTCTCTCACCAAAGATAGACGTCGTGAGACAACATGTCAAACCTATGCTCCCCGGCCCTTTTTCCCATTTTTGAAATCCTTAAAAGACACAAATCCTAAGCCTTTAAGTACGCCTCCTCTCTGAAGCTGCCTGCACTCCCCTTCAAGTGTGTACTTTGCCTTAAGTAAAGCCTTTTTGCTGCTCAATTTACTGTATTTTGTGCCTGTGCTTTTACAAACCTCTTGGGAGATTAATAAGAAATGTCTTTTCCCAGTGGTATGTGTCTTTGTTACTTCGCTATTTCATTTCAATTTTCTCCACTGAAGCACACATCTTCACTCTCTCTGTTTCACTTCAGACAAGTAAGTAGAGAATGGCTACTAAGATATCTGAATTTGGCTTGCAAGTTCCTCTACCCTGGATGACCCAGCCGGGACTACAGCTGTAGATCATGCTCTTTAGTAGCATGCCAGAAAATCTCCTTTCTTTGCTTTGGGAAGTTCTCAGAACATGATCTCACTCCATCCAGTGCTCTGCAACTCCCCCAAATCCTGGGGTGGTAGGAGCTTAGTTCTGATGCCATGCAGATTCAAGCAGGTACTGGACACCAGGTGACCATGGCTTCAGGAGTTGGCAAGAGATCTGCCCCACCCAGAGCAGGAGTTCAGTGAGCTTCCCTTTCCTCCCTGTGCTCTTCCTTGCCCTCTACTGCCTAAGCAGCTGCTGCCATCCACTACTACTCTCGCTTTAATAAATTCCTTCCTTACCTACACTTGTCAGACCTGTTCATAAATTCCTTCTTGATAAGAGTCAAGTAATCTCCCCTATCCAGGTAGAGGTTTCATCTAGTGCAAAGGGAGAGATCTCCCCAGACACAGCTGCCCAGCTACAACCCCACCAATAACTCAGGCAGACTTATCTTTACAAAATTTACAGAGTGGTCATTTCAAATTGCAAGGATCTAGCTGTACATATGTAAAATAAGTGACTGTTGCAGAAATTACAGGGGCTTCTCCTCTGTAGGTGATATTTTACTTGAGCTTAGTAGCTGGGAGTTCAGTGCTAACTGCGATCTTTTTGCTGAACACAGGCTCCATTCTCAAAGGAAATGACACAGCAGTCCATCACCAAGTTTCTTAAAGCAGTTACAGGACATCACAGACTACTGCTGGCTATAAGGCTATGAAATCGGGACTTCCAGGCTCAGCCAGAATCAAGGCCTTCCTAGCTGTCACTGGGAAGTATCTTCTATTAACTTTAAGAGCAAATCTATCTCAATATCACAGAAGCTCTCAAAATAAAACTGCTTTCATCTGAAGTCACCGTATCTTCTTTTTTTTCTTTTAAAAAAGAATTTGATATACTTAGCAAATTGAACCCTGTGCAGGTTAAAACAAAATGGCTTTATTTTTCTCAAACTGTAACTTTATGCTGTGTTGGATCTCCCTCTCCTCAGCTTGAGAACATTTTTGACAGATCCTATAGATTTTCAATCACTTCAGTGGCATTCCTGTAATTTAAACTCACAGTGAGCCATGAAAAAGGTTAGGTCAGGAAAAAATTACATATGATATTTATCTGTCTCATGCATAAAGAAGTCAATTCATATGGATTTGTGATTCAAATGTTAAGGGAAAAAATTAAACTTCTAGAATAAATTTGGGAAA